AAAATCAAATATATATATATATATATATATATATATATATATATATATATTCTCTTTATTGACAGTAGTTACCTTATGCGCTTTTTCTTGAATAAACTTTTGCCGCGCATATTCTTTTCGTCGTAAATGTCTATACACGTGAAACTCTCCACTGCCTGCTCCAGCACTGCTACCCATAACATTGCGAACAAATTCTGGTACAGAGGGTGTATTCTTGGCTTTTGGACGTTCTGGCAATATAACTGGCTTATCCTAATGTTATTAAAAGAAAAAACACGAATTTTTATTTTAAGAATCCGAAAAAAGAAAACTGTTTTGCGCGTGCAAAAGTAATTTTTTTTTTCTTGGAATTTTTGGAAAATGCATAATACTTACTATGTTTTTCATTAATTTCATTAATTTTAATCTTTGCAGATCTACAGCTGTTTTTGCTACTATAGGTTTCTCTTCATCTTTCTCTTTATCTGACATCTTTTTTCTGTTCAAATAGTCAAATATGTAATAGTTTTTTCGTGTTTTTGTTGCGTAAATTTATTGCATAGCTAATTGCTTGATAAGCCATAAAACATGTATACATTTAGATCCGCAGATGAATTTTTACTGGATTGTGTTCGGTAATCTACTTGTCGGAATACAATAGCTTTCTATTGACCAATCAGAACAAAAGGAGTAAAGAGATTTTTGTCCTGATTGGTCAATACAATTCAAGACAAATTTGTTTGCTAGTTTTCTCAGTTATTGGAGATGGCGATGTTGTTTTTACATCTCTTTGGAATTGATAACCTCTCTATGTTTTAAGATTGTTCCAAGACTATATCAGTTATCAGTGTTGATTTCAATCATCGGTGTCAAAGACTGTCAAAGACGATATTTCATAGTTTTGGTAACGTTCCGCAATATTTTTGAGCAATTTACGAGATAATCGCATAATAAAAAATGGCAGATCCTAAATACGCCGATTTACCTGGAATTGTGAGTGCTTTTTATGTTCTTGTCTGCTTATCATATTTTAATATGCTACATTATGTCACTGATGTGAATGAATACAAATTCTGTGTTTAGGCATATGATCAGCTTGATGTCTACGAAACGAGCGACTTGCCAGAATCAGAGCAAATGCGAATGTATTGTGAGGTAAGCTACATATACCTACATTGCGTATAATATTCAGTCTGTTAATTAATAGTTGATTTATTCAGGATGAATCCGATAGCTCTTGTGTCGAGCAGTTACACATCAGTGCTAAAGAAGCATTTAATAAATTTAAAGGCAAACAAATTGTTGGAAAACCTGTTGATTTCTCAGATCGTTTGTCTAACAAGCCGAAGTCAGGATACAAGTAAGTTCTAATTAATGAAATTATTTTAATTTAATGAAATTTAATATATTGGACGATATATAAGAGAGCATTTCCAGATTTGGAGATTGGGAACTTGTTAGTGAAGGTGAAAAAGAAACTCCTCTTCAAAAATACCAGCGACTACAATGTGAAATTAAGGAATTGTATGAAGAAGTGAATGAGTTGAAGGTATATTGTTGTAATATTGTTGATACAAGATATGCTAAAATTATTTTATTACTAATATAGACATATGTGGTAATATATACAGGAAAAATCCAAGGATGAGGTAGAAATCAAGTCTGCAAGCGAGATTATTTCTCAGGCACAGCAAATAGAAAAACAGTTGGTCTCTTTAAAACTGGAAGATTGTCTAGAACCTGATGTTGTTGCAAGTTTATCAGATCCACAAGGCATAATGCTCAAGTATGACATTTAAAAATAATAATCTATAATGTATGTATATATATATATATATGGATATATATATATATATATATATGTGTGCATATATATATATACATACGGAGAAAGAGAAAGAGAGAAGTTGCAATCTATTATATGTATATAGATATTTTCTTCAATAATTAATATTTTAATCTTCCAGGCAATTGATATCACAGATTGAATTATTTAAGCAAACCAGCATGCCTTCGTCAAAGTTATCATCAGAAGATACGGAGGCAGGTGAATCAGTTGAACATGGTGTTCTTAAATATCAGATGATGTATTTCCCAGAAAAAGCAAGAATGCAGGAAGCTGCGAGGATCGCACAGCTCGAACAGAGACTTTGCTGTCTAGAAAATCTCATAGGGACAAGTAACGATAAACTTTCAAAATTTTCACAGGTAGGATCACTTTTTAGGCATATAAATTTCAAATAGGTTTATGAATCCCTCCTTTTTCACAGAATGTCAAGTGCAATGGCATAATGGAAGCTGTACAACAATTAGAAGCCAAGACTTCATTGTTAGATGTTAATCAATTGGATACCATTGAAACAAGATTGGGCACTTTAATTTATCGAATGGATAGCATTGCTCAGAAAAAAGCAGCAGCAGAACAAGATTCTGAGCAAGAGCAAAAGGTAATATATCATATGAATATTAAAATCAATATTACAATAATGTATATTTTGCATAAAATTAATGTCTTTTGTGTGAATCTTTCTCATAGATCTCAGAGATGTATGAAGTCATGAAAAGAACAGATGCTATATCGCAAATATTACCACAAACAGTAGAAAGGCTATTGATATTGAGCGATATTCATCAACAAGGTAAAATTATTTAGTGTATAAATGTGTGTACAAAAAATATATTCTAAAAAAATGTGTTGCATCCTAGCTGCTGCCTTCAGTAAGTCTTTAACGAGATTAGAAGAATTGCAAGCAGAGATCTCATCAGGATTGGATAGTAACAAGTCTCTATTGAAAGGAGTGCAGGAAAGTTTTGTCTCCAATATGGAGGTTATAAAAAGTAACATAGCATTGCTTGATGAACGTATTCAGAAACTTAAAAAGTGATCAAAATAGATATATTAAATCTATTTAATATTTCAATAACATTACTATATTGATACCATTTTCTAAGATTTCTTTATTTGGAGCATTTATACACTCCTATTATGTTGATATTATTTATTTAATGTAATTTGTAAATTTATTTGCTTTTATACACACATTATTTTGTTATTCTTACACATTTTGCAAGTGTAATATCTGATTTCTAAAATATAATTGCTAAAATAAAGAGCCTACTAAAATCGTTCAATATAATACACAAACAAGAAGTATACAACTTTAAATGTAAAGCATGCGAACTAAAATAAACTGGAACTTCAGTAAAAAAATTATAAGTTTTATTAAATCCTTTATATATATATATATGATCTCAACGTAGTTAATTAGTTATTAAATAACATAAATATTAAGCTAATTAAATTGAAAGGCAGATAAAATAAATGATAATTAAAAATATAAATGTTTGATATATTCTTTACATAGGATTATGTGATGGAAAAAATCGTGTTCACTCTTTTTACATCTGTATATCAGACTTTTATTTAAAAACAATTAGAATCTTAACTTCTGGAAGAACCACTTGTTCTTACCGTTTTTATACCTGGAAACGAAAAGTAAATTTAAATAATATTAATTACGAATATAGATTTTGCAGTGACGGCAGAATATTGAATTACATACCTCTCTTCAAATTTGACGCGTGTCTGGAAACGAACTTTCTTGCGCTTCATCGGATCTTTGAGATCCTTAGGAGCGACTTTATCTAATTGTAAGTCGACTGTATACCTCGTTGGCATTAAATGGTTGTAATTAAGGATCTAAAATATTTTATATAAATATAGTGTTACACAAAGATATAACAGAATTATATAGATATATAAAAAGATTCTGAGACATTAAAAAATTTATACAAGAATAAAGAATCATAAATTTACCTTAACAAAAGGTTTGATTTTAGACCGTTTATGCAACTTTCCCTTTCCCATTCTTTTATGGACTTTTCTTGGATACCGGTCAATGCCTGCAACCATAGCGTGTCCATACTGTTTTTCTGCAGTTCCATCATCATAGTTGCGCATGACGATGGCTTTTCTTCCCGCGTACCGGCCGCTGAGGACCAGCACAACTTTTCCTGTCTTCATAATCTTCACCATCTTGGCGATGTACACTGAAAAGGAAACAAAGAATATTAGTAATCACAGAAAAAAATTTTAAATTAGAATTATACATATAATCATTTTCTCTGTACAATTTAATAAGCTTAGCATAGAATATTATCTTTTTTTTTCTCTTTCTAAAAAAAATGCTATCAAAATATCCTCGCTAACAATGTAAACATTTTGGGTTCGAGCACTATATAATCACTCATACTATAAACCAAAAATTTGTAGTTGTAAGGAAGAAAGAAAGCGAAAAGCGTTATAGTGTAACGTTGCAAAAAGTAACGTAATAATTGCAAGATTGACCGAAATCGAACGATCGATTCTATTGACAAATATAAACATGTTCGTGGTTAGAGTTAACCCAACATTTTTGTTCGCCGAAAAATGTTTTTAAAAGACCTGAGGAATCAAATATGAGCGTACGAGGAGAGATCGCGTTGCTCGGTAATTACAGATGTGATGCGAATACAGCGTGAAAAGTCCAAATGCGCGATGTCTAAGGATTTAATTCACGATGTAAACGAGCATTACGCACCTCACGGTTCGTCGTACCGGATGAAAGGAAGTTAACCCTACTTTCACCCGATATCTTTACAACAAATCACGATCGACAGATGTCGCACTATCGCTCATCCGGTAATCTTGGCGCGCAGAAAAGACCCGCGAAGAGGAGAATTAAGTAATCATATAGGCATGGTCTCTTTCAGGCTTCTCTCTGTGATTAATAACAACCGATATTCATTACCAGTACTGAAAATATATAGTTTACGTCACGTACACTATAGATTTTCAATACTGGCAGTGAATACCGGAACGCAGTCCTTGATAAATTTTCACGACCATGCATGATGCACATATGGAGAAATGGACCAATCAAATGTAAAAGATATTATGTGAGATCATATTGTTGCTTCCTTTACATTAGATGCATCTAGGTATCAATTCTGTAAAGCCAGATCTACAACAGGTGTAGTAAGCCTTAAGCCTAAAAATTTACCGATAACAATTGATTATTCTCCTCACATTTGACTGTGATTGATTAATTACTTATGGCTTGAGGCTTACTACACCTATTGTAGATCCGAGCTAATTCAAGTGAGGGTGAAAATTACAAAAATGGAATTACAAAAATTTACTAGATTTGGACCAATGAAATTATAAATTTTCTAGTAAAATCGCTTATTTTTGTAATTTTTACCCTCACTTGAATTACAGAATCGTTATCCTAGTAGTACGATCGCTCATTGAGCGCTCAGTCAGAGTGAGCGACTATTCATGATCGGTTTACTTTTTAGATTGTAAAATATATACACCAATCACAAGTAGCTGTTCATTGAGCAGTCGTGTTACTAGATGCACTCATTATGGGCGCGCGATTGGTTGACGTTCGTGCGCATTATGCAAGTTATCTATAGAAAGTCCATAACTCTGGCTTTATCAAAATCTCTTCTAATTTCAACAAGAATTTGATTCTTTTTCGGCCTGTATCTATATCCCGTATTCATTAAGCATTAGTGAGTACAATCTATTCTTCTATAAGTTCTGAATCTTTTTTTAATATATATACGTATATACGTATAGATATATACACGTACATATATATTTTTGTATATATATCTTGTATATATATATTGGGAGATACATCCATCATCCATCGCGCTTTTCCGTTATATTGACTGGTCCCAAAAATATCATGTCGATTCAAATGTTAATTGTGTGCAAATTCGGATCTGTAATGACATTATTCTCCTCATTTAACGATCACTGCGCTCATCTTCGCGACATTTAACATTTATCGGGAGGTTTACAGAAATCGAGAATGCGAAAAAAAGCAAAGAAATAAAAAAAGACATATATAAAAATAAATTAAGAGCAAAACATATACGTAAGGTAATTATACAATATGAGCGTAAAAAAAGCGAGATATATCTTTGCCCAACGAGATGCGAGGAAATGATTTTTACAAAAATTCATTTTGTTATTCTTCATATTATTGCGTTCCGGATTAATGACTACTATCTCTCTTTCAGCTTTCATTACGAACAACATAAATCTTTCTTCCCTGTTTTTCTCGGGAAGCGTGGGAGAACCGCATTTGCCTCGCACCTTCGGCTCGCCCGCAACAAGTGTTCCCTAATCGATATCATGCCCTGCGAGACCCTTTCAACGACGCCACGAATTCTAGGAGCGCAGTCGTATTATATTTTTCTCATGGTATAACCTTTATTCTTTTTCTTTTAAAAGATCCTTATTATATTTAAAAAAAAGAAACTAGATAAATAAATGATAACTATTCATGAGCAACCTCTCCGATACCGGCTGCTTTTTTTCAGTTTCTTTTCTTTCTGACAATTAATCCCTTCATTAAGGAGAGATGTTCTGTTTAGATAGGATCTTTCTTTATGTGTCAATTTTATCAAGTGACGCGATGATTTACTTTCTTATTGGATGTTCCTCTTTATCGTCATCGACGACAGTATGTGTGTGCGTCTTTTCTCTCTCTTTCTTCCTCCCACATTATCTCCTTCTATCTCTCTCCCCCTGTCGTTTTGCGTCTTCGTTGGCTCGCTACCGGCACAATCGATTTCAAAATCCGACGACGCACGGCTTGCGCGCCGTCGCCGCCGCCTGTTGTACCTTCCACCACCTCTTCCTCATCGTCCTGCCTTTTCAGTCAGTGCCATCGCTGCGGTGGAACCGGCGGCCGTTCACGGGAACATGGTCCAGGAGGTCCTCGCAGCCAGCATCGTCGAGTGGTGATCGTCAGCTCTCTCGCGAAGCGGAACGACGGTGTTTCTCGTGGCGGCAATGTGCCGCAGGGTGTGAAGAGACCGCGTTACGTCACGCCCAGGTGAGAACAAATTCACGTTTACATCGCAGTTCCACCCTGCACGATTCTCTCTTTTAACTTCTTTTTAATGGGAAAAATCTGGAAAAGTTTGTGATGTAAATTTGCGTCTAAAAGTTACCTAAAAAGAGTCTCCTCGTAATTAATTTTGAACATCAGATTTTCGTGTTCTGCGCTTCTAGAAGATTTATTTGTACTAGATTATTTTCTTTTTTTTTTTTTTTAAGGATAAATCAAGGATTGTGTAGTTAAAGGGATTGTATCAGGATGTACGAGAACACGTATCCCTCCTTTGCCGGTATTATAATTGCACGCTACCATATTTACATTGCGCATTCAACGTTAGGCGCGACTGAGTACATCACGGATATTTATGTGAACAAAAGTGCGCAAATCGAACTCGAATACTTAATACGAATAGTAAAAATCGTTATCGCGCGTATCTCGCTTCCGATAATATCTGAGAATAATCTGGAAGCTAGATCTAATTAAAATCAGATGTGGCGTGGCGGCGCGCAGCTTTCCCAAGGGGATGCTAATTTGTCTTCGGAGGAGAGTGAACGTGACTACAACCTGATGCTTCGACTACGAGATATATGTGTATATAAGTATAAATGTTATCGCGGAAAGAGGATGCTTTTCGAAGGTAAATGATAGAACGGAAGACGAAAATCCAAAGACAAAATTCTCTCTTCAAAAAAAAATAGTGAAAGCAAATAATGTTTTTCTATTTCTGTCTTTTATGCAATGCTGCGTATTGGAGGAAGTTTGTAATTAAATGTCAAACAGGTCAACGGTTTTTTTTTTTTTTTTTTTTTTTTTGTTTAGCAGAAAGTGATTCAGATTCGTAGCGTTTTTGTTATCAGTCAGAATTTGCTGAAGTAGATTATGCCGTGTGCATTGTCTTTTATTAGATTCGCATTCGATCGAGTGCGGGCGATGCACTCCAGGGCGATGCACCTAGAAAAGTACTTACACTAGCTTTCTAGAAACTGTGTTGCCGCACAAGTCCGAGTATACTTCCATGTTAAATAAACAATTCGTGAACTAAAATCTTACCCCAAGAATAGATGAAATACATTTGTGTGCCTTTAAGACTCGAGAATATTTTACATACACTCTCAATGACTTTCTAATCATCAAAAACTATAACGATTTACAAATTATTAAAACTCATAATGAATAAAAATAATCCACGATGTTTCCGCGTCATTTATTCGCCAGGATGTCGGCTACGTCCGTCTTATTTTTCTACGAATAAAAGACGTCCGAGAAGAATGAGATAAAATTATCCTATTATATGTAGATGCATGAAAGAACGGACGAAGTGACGTAAAGTGGATTCACAATTGCAGGAACATCTATGGGCCGTAAACGGTGGTGGCGAGGAGGTCTGGTGGAGCTGTTGGTGCTCTGTGTCCTCCATCACGTCATCGTTCTCGCTGATGGCAATGTTGGTGAGTACTGAATATTATTATTTGAACGAGCGAGGAGAGATAATGGCGTTCGTCTTCAAAGTACACTTCAGTACACTCAACCCTCGACGCGAATAGTTGGTAATCTGAATAGAATCACGCGATTATTATTTTCCATGCAGAAATATATTTTGCGAGTAAAGAAACCAGTGTCAAAAATACTTTTTCCGATAAGATCTATTTTTGCTCGAAGAAAATCTTGAATCATCGTTTTTATGTATTTTTCAATTTCAAACAAATGTGCATTTTAATTTCAAGTGACCAGAAATTAAATTTAAATTAAATTAAGTTAAAAAATTAAATTAATTTTCCAGTTGTGTATTGCGTATCCTCTGAAGTCTCTGTTGAAAAATGTGTGGCTTTGTTTCTCTTTGAATTAATGAAGGGATGAACTTTAAGTCTTTTTATATATATAGAGAGACGAGATAAGCGAGGTTTTTAAAGAGACGGGAGATATAATATGTAGTTTTATGATGAAGCATTCTATTCGATATGTTTTGTACTGTAAACCATCGTTAAATTGTGTTTCGCGCAATCAAGCGGAAATCCCTTGTGCGTGAGCGCTAAATGCGAAGATATAAGAAAGGATGGGAGATATATTACATAGATATAGCGACAGAACGTTGAGAGAGAATGGTATGGACCAAGTCCACAATAAACTCAATTAATAGAATAAAATAAACTCAATTAATAGAATAAAATTACACCATTGCTTTTTAATTATATAGCTACAATTTAACACCACAGAAGAAATTGAAGAATTTAAGATCACGAGATAAATTTTCTTTTAATTAAAAAGTAAAACTTTAAATCTCTCTATAAAATCTTAAAGTCTGTATAAATCTTGGAGTCTTTTCAAATCTCTCTAAAACAAAATCCGAAGTATATTTCTATAATAATATCTAATAACTCAAGTTAGCAACATTCTCTCTCGGTGCTTCTCTATAAAAATAAATCGTACCTCTTCAATCGATATTTTTCTCGCCGATACGTGATATAAGTGCTTACCTCGAAGTATTAACATCGATCGCGCGGTAATGGTTGACGCCCCATTAGATTGTCGCGTGATATTACACTTCTTTAAGTACTGTTTGGTCACACATTTGTGTGAAAGTGCACTTATCGATTTCCAACACGTCGGAAGAAAGAGTGCGAATTACTCTTTATTAATCGCAAATGATATTGTTTACGTTTGACAAGAATACGACTGTTAGATGCGACGATCAATTGAATTCACGCGTAAAAGTTGCATAATATCGCGTAATAGAGTAGGCTAATTTAATTATCCTACTTTATCTTTCATTTTATTGCTTTATTATAATTTAATTAATTAGCGCTGTGGACAGAACCCGAGAGAGTCCG